CTCCTCCTGCAGGAAGACATTCCATCTCCATCCTGGGCCCTCTCCAGCAGCAACAACACCACAACCTCTGGCTCGTTATTCCAGTGGTTAATTATCCTTCATCTCACAAATTAGCCCCCAGTTCCCACTGGACCAGCTCCTCCAGCTCCAACCCCCAGCTACTGGATCTCATTTCCCTCTTGTTTCAGGAGGCTCCTGATGGCAAGTTAAATTTAAGGACCACCCAAGGAAACCCTTCAGGAAATCTCCAGGGAATGCTGCTCCTGGTCTGCACAGCCCTTCATCCCAGCCAGTCTCCAGGGAAAACTAAAGCAGAGCAGTCCCCTGGCAGAGCCCAGGAATAAATTCAGAACCTCACAATATCAGCTTTGCAACATTTTCCCCCGTTTTTGTAAAACTAGACCGTTTTTTGGATGGAAATGTGCAATTCCGGGCAGTTTTCCACCCAAAACCAGTCGGGTTTTCGGTTGGAATCGGCTCTTCCCCACTTCTTCTGGAAGCAGTGGGGTTAAGGATGGTTCCTTATGGATGTGGGCCTTGATTTCCCACCCTGCCCTCCTCCCAGCATTCCATGGATCCTGATAAACCTCATCTTCATCCCTGAGCACTTCCAGGCCCTTTCCCACTTTTCCATGTCTCCCCCTGCTCCTTAAGAAATCCCGGAACCCTCCAGGGAAACCACGGCACGTTCCCTGCCTGGAAAACAACTGGGTGCACAAAACTCTCCCGGGAAAGAGAGCTGGGAGAGGATCCAAGAGGAGGAAAGGAGGGATGGGAAGGTCTTTATTCCAGCCCGTGATCCATCCCTGTGTCCCGAGGACGACGGAACCACAGAGCCCTTCCACGGGAACATTCCAAGGTTCCCTGAGCTGTCCTTCCCATCACCCACCACTTTTCCCGGGATGAGAGGGGCAGGACGCCCACAAACCCCTCTGCCTGCAGAGTGGGAATTCCTCAGAATTCCCTGTGGAGTGGGAAGATCCCCCCTCCAGGGATGAACGCAGCAAACCCCGCTGGCCAGCGGGACCCGGCGGCGCTGCCGGGACACAAGCCGGGATCAGAAGTGGGGAGGGATCGGTTTTCCACGTGTTTAACCAGGGATTGGCATCCCTTCCAAAGGTCGGGATGCCTGGGGGATCCTTCGGAGCAAACCACCCCCAAATTCAGTCCCTGATGGAAGGGGGAAGGAACTCAATCCCTCAAACATTCCGGGGAACGGGGCCAAAGACACAAAGGCGGAGGAATTCCATGAGCCACGGCCCCGCTTTTCCAAAACAGCTCCGAAAGCTGCCCGGGGGGAAACTCGACCCGGCCCTTTAACCAGAAAACAGGGAGAGATCCCGAGGAATGCCGGGTGGGAAGCAATATTTATAGGCCTTGGGGTTCCTGCCTCCTGCCCACGCCGGGTCTGTGGGACACCGCTGGAATGAGCGCTCGGATCCCAGGGAAACACGGAGCGGGTCGGGGTCAGGGAGGCTCCACTGCTGCTCCTGGGCATGCAGGGGGGTGTGAGGGGGAGATGTGGGCAGGTCTGGGCAGTGGGGGGACTTGGGACCCTGTGGAGGACCCATGTTGGAGCAGTTCCTGAAGGAATGACCCCGTGGAAAGGGACCTGGAGCAGTTCCTGAAGGAAAGACCCCATGGAATATGGACCTGGAGCAGTTCCTGAAGGAA